TTTATGTATTGGTTAAAAATTAATAATCAATTAGACGGATAAATTACTGTTTTATACATACAATTTTATTAGCGTTACATCATACAGTTGAAAATACAAGTAAATAAAATAGCGTGAACTCCTTACAAGTTAGCTAACTAACAAGAACATTCTACAGTGCATTTACGTAATGGCTGCAATTTAATTATTTATTGGATGGACCAGTATAGTAGGACTTTTATAGAAAATATTTAGCTCTCTGAATGCTCATAAAAGGGTTCTAATTTGAGTCTAGTTATGTCAAAAAATATGCATGTAGATCTCGTGTGTCAAGAGCTCGTACGGGTTGCGTTCTTCGGCGCGTGCGCAAACCGCATCATTGTGCGCGGCGCGCGGCCCGTGACGTGACGTCCTTGCACCTTTGTGAGGCTGGACGCGGACACCTTCCGGGGTAGGTACCTGACTGGATCATCAAAGACAGCCCTAGCTTTGCTCCAGCGAAGTAAATCGATAGAGTTTATCAGGGTCGATCAGGCAGTATGAATAAATTCTTGCTACAAAGCTGATTTAAAAACAACTAAAACGAAACAATAAATTCTGAATTGAGAAAGTTAAATCTTGAGTGCCGAAGCAAAAACACCAATGAAATCTGTACTCATAAATACAATTTACCGCGGACTACTGTGTGTGTACAGGTATTCGTGTTTCTAGTAATTTTATGGCAGCAGCAATTATGTTCAGTTCGGTCATAAATATTCTGTTAGAGCACCAATCAATCCACTTTCTCTAGTATTACTATGTATCAACTTTGATACATTTAGTAACGGATCACTTTTCCAATCAACAGCTTTCTTCTTAGTTCCTCAGCAACGTTTATAAGTAGCCGCTCTTTGTATTTGCAGCCCTACGCTATATTATTATGTCGGAAACTAATCTTTGACCCCCAATTTTCACTGCATAAGTTAAATATTAAAAAAAAGGGCTGTAATTTTTTGTCGTGCAATAGTTGCTAACTCTCATCTCTGTGTGAAATTGACCGAACTATTCTCCAAGAAAACTGAAGTAGGTAAACTGTAACAAACCTATTATCATTTTAAACTTTTTCTCACAACTCTACGCGAAGATGAATACAAGCCAATCAAGATGTTCAAGTAAGCCTTTGAGGAATTTGTTCTGCGGCAAGCAGTATACTTTTTTCCAATCTCTCCGTCGTTTTTTCAGTTTCGCAACGGTAACAGAACATCCGTTAGCGTAACTCTTTGATTGCCTAATACTCCATTAGCTTTTCCAGGTAGGCATGCCGCGCGGCTGCGCCCGCGCTCATTACTAAAACATTCTAGACTGCTCACCCCTCAGATCATAGAAAGAGAATAGATATGAAGTCGCGCGTAACTACAACGAGAACCAGTGTCCCCACATTTCCCCCACCACAGCTCCCACACACACATTCAACTGTGTAAAAACAAAGCGACTGAGAGTCTACGACAACATGTGCAACCGGCTTAAAAGTGCTGTGATTGGCCAAAAGGCGTGCCTTATGGCCAATCAATGGCCGCGTGACGTGACGCACACTTTGAAAAAAGCAATTAGAGAGAAGAAAGATAAAATGGAGTCGATAAGATATCGATACTTTAAATCCTGGAGGCAAGGCTCGAAATTGGTTTAAAAAATGCTTGTATGAAAACCTTTTTATTATTATACGTTATTATTATGTTCTTTAACGATTTTTGCATAAAGGAGTCAGTTCTATTTTGTATGGACGAAAAACTCAGAATCAATTATTGGGACTAAATGAAGTTACCTTATATTAATTTACCCCAACCAAAGCTCAATGTCGTTATCGATGGAGTATAGAAGTTATAGACTGACAAAGTTTGTATGAAAAGTCATGGGTTAAGTAGGTACTTGCGATTTTTACCAGTATTTACAATATTGGTAATATATTATTATTTACTTTAATAATAATAACAGGATCACTGTAATTATTATTAACTACTATCGCGCATTAACTTTTTAATTATGGCGAAATTCGTACCGCCTATGTTTATCAAAAATAATGCCTATATTAGGCTTTCAACTAGCTCTTATAGTAATTACATAGTTGACAGTTACTAATCCCTTCTACTATTGTTATTGTTTTTGTAAAAACTTAAAAATCGCAAGCAACTCATGATTTTTTCATTCAAAATTAGAAAATAGAAAATAATAATTTACTTCTATTTATCGATAATAGGAAACCGTATTAGAACACGAGCCCTGCACTATGTTACGACCGGCACATGCGGCCGTACTGTGTATTTTCACGCGTCAGTGGATATCGGAAGAAATAAAATACATTGCGCAGTAGTTACGCGTGACATAAAGTGGTTGCTAACTAAATCGTCAATGTACAACGTGTTTGAATTTTTATCACCACTAATTTCGATATCGCAGTAAATGTCACGGCACTGAATTCGTTCGTAAAAATGTTTAGTTTTTTTTATTTATAAGCAAAATACCAATGGATTTGCAATACTTACATGTGGTAAATGACTTCATTGTTCCTGTAGTTCTTCGTTTCACTTATGTTATTGCACGTTACGACGCATTATTCAACAATATCGGAGAACATTTCCTCAGTACGACTGAATCCCGACTAACCTGGCGTCGCGGGCGATGTTCGTTTCTGGGCATATCGCGGAGACACGCGCCACGCCCCCGTTTCACATCTATTCCCTTCTATGATCTGAGGCTCACCCGGATAAGCTGGTCAATTATCCCGCTGAAACTGTTGGCGGCATTCAAGGAATTTAATTAAGGATATGTAAGATTGTGTCATACTGGATGCTGAATTGAGGATGTGACAAATCCTTTCAGAAGCATCAGCACATTTTTTTTTGTAGTTTCCCTTGTTTAATCCGTTGCTAAAAGCTGTTTTGCCAGCTAAAATCGTAATAAATTCATCATTACCAGCAATATTTATTGTACCCAAATTGTTGTTCCTGAACGCAATCATCGTTTATGTATGTGTCACAATACTCACAATGTTAATATTTTCCTGTGATAAATTCAATGTCACCGTCACCGGATAGACGATTATAGCTGTTGGTTAATGTAAACATGTCCTAAAAACCGCATTTAATTTACAATTTATACGTCATGTGTGACAATTAATAAATTGTTGCTATCTTTTCTCTTTCCCAACGAGCCAATAAGTAAAATTTTATAAAAAAAAAATAAAACCGACTCCAAAAAACCTACACTAAAACGTAGAAAAATAATTACTAATTACCTACTTATTTATTAGGACGAATTTTTAATATTTATGTAGGTATACCATGATTGATACTTCTGGAGTCGGTGCCAAGATTATGAAACATGTAAAGTTTGCCTGCACCTGCAAAATTTTACTTATTTCTTGCTTTTTAGTTAACTATTATTATTACCTTGATGTTACCACTGAAGGTAGGCAGTACACTGAGACCAAAAAAAATTGGTTCATAATCAGCGGAGATATTGCGTATAAAAATGTTCATCCCCAATTTTCCACCCTTGGGGGTGAAATATTTTCTTCAAATTCGCATGAAACCACCCTTTTGATAATACCTATTCAACAAAAAAATAATCGTTCAATTGGTTTATAATCGGCGGAGATATTGCGTATAAAAAAGTTCATCCCCAATTTTCCACCCATGGGGGTTGTTTTTTTTATTATTAAATTTAAATGGGACCACCCTTGAGGTATTACCTATACGTCGAAAAAAGATTTGTTCAAATCGGTTCATAATTGGCGGAGTTATCGCGTAACAAACATAGAAAAAAAAAAACATACGGGTCGAATTGAGAACCTCCTCCTTTTTTGAAGTCGGTTGATAAAATGTCTGACATTACCGTCTACGTGAGCAGGCTCTTACGCACGTAACATGTACTTTTCTGTTGTTAATTGAATCCTTTGTACAAGGTTCCCGCGTGTTATCGAAGGCCGTTTAGGACCCAATTTCCCGCCGTAATGACGGCTCCGACGCTTTCTTCGTGATCTCTCGTTATTAATTGCAGCTTATGATCTATTCCGATGAGATCTTTTCAATGGCTTACATTTTAATCAATTTCATGCCCGTCTCTACTATGCCGACCAAGGTTATGGGAAAAGTGTGGATATTCTTTCTTTTGTTTCTTCCATTATTACTTTTTTGAGGCAGCCCTAAATCAGATGTTTCTATTATTAACGTGTAATTCTAACCTGTTATTTGATGAAGTTGTAATTAGTTTCTGTTTAATTATTAAATGTTGATTGGATTTAGCCTACTAATAAGCAAATATATTTGTATTGATTACATATAATAAATCAATACAATTAATTCTACATTTGCTGTCAGGATATATGATTGTGTTTTTACTACGAAAACAAAATGCGCCAGAAGGGTTATTTGTATTAAGTATGCACCTGAAATGACGTCGAAGTCATATAGATAAAATTGTATTGAGTGATAGCTCACTTCCCATGCAATAAAGGTGGTGCCGGCAGGAACAATGCGCAGTTTATCATGCAAGTGCAGGGTGAAGTGAGCGGGAAGTCACAAAGTGCAGTGTGTCGTCTGCGCAGACTGAGGAAATTATTCACCGTTTCCCTGCTCTCGAACTGTCCCAGGTTACCTGTGCTATAGTTAGAAAGCTGTTTAATGAATGTTCAAATCAACCGCCTGTCAGGTAGCATCACATACCTAATTCACATTGCTTTAAAAACGTTGATGAACGCGGTTTATTAAAGACAAGTAAGTCTAAACGATTGTGATTTCTGATAAATATTTATCAACGATCGATCATGCGATTAAAGCATTGATATTACAAGATAGTTTTTACCCGTGTTTTTGCCGAAATAAATTAGTTTTTTTAAATTAATTTAGTTCCCCGGACACACTTTAATATCTGCTACAACAAAACTTGACTTAATTTGATTTATTGTATTGCATATTTTCATTAAGTCATAATGATTTGTTATGCCTTTTCTTCAGCCGTCAAATTTAATTCCGCTTTTCTACTAAGCTCATACGTAACGGTGCAATTTGATTACGAAAACGATATCGTACAGCGTGAGTGACCTACGCGGCCGACAGTCCACCGCCGGCGTCGACGCGCGCGCATGTGCTGTGTGTGGCGTGCTTGTGCGCTGGCAGTCATCGCTTACGATCAAGGGCCGTCCCTACAACCCACTACCCTCACTACTATTAAACATTACAGACAACAAACGATCATTGTGACAAGTGAAGTGTTATTTACGATAGAATTCTATTGTTAACAAAACAATGCTATTCAAGGCGCGACACTTGTTCAAGCGGAAAATATCGATAAGATAACCTGTATCGCAATAATAAAATTTATCGCAATTCGTCAATTGCACTGCAGAAGGACTATTGCAAAAATCGCGTCCTTCCTTTCTATTCAAGCGGCTCGCGATGCTGCGGGTTAGTCGCGTGCGGTTACTTGACGGTGTAGTTTGTTGACAGACGCAGCAACTTGTGAGAATGCCAAAACAGTGCGCGAAAACGATTGTCTGATTTTCCCGGAGAGTGCGACAATAGCCAATTTTAGATAGTGACGGTGGTGATAATGGGCAGGATTACCAAGAAGATGGCGACACCTACTAGCAGTGATGTTGAGAGCGGTGGTGATGCTTTTACTGACGGCGATTTCGATGATAGTGATGAAGATATAACAGTTGTGGAGAGGTGTGAAGATTCGGGAAAATCAAGAATTCCTGTAAACGACACTGTAAATACAGACGTCAAAAATAATCTTCACAATGGTGCATCTCCTATTTCTTCAAAGGCACAAACTAATGGCCTGGAACATCAGTCAAAGGTTAACGGACTAAAAAACGGTGATAAGGAATTGCCTAGTGCCGTGGAGTGTCGTAGTAGTGATGTAGTTGAATTTCGAAGAGACTCCCATGGTGATCAAAATCCATCTATAGTTGGAATTATTGGAGATCAACATAGTCATGTACGTATTTCATATTTATGTTTGTTTGCATATTTTAGTACTGTATCACCGCACAGTTAAGCATCAGCATATCCTTATATTTTTTGTATCCTTATGATTCATACAGATCTGACTCATTAATATTTCGTCAACTGTTGCAGTCGCTGTACCTTTTCCGCTTTTCCCATTAATTCTTGTAATAATCTTATAAAACGTACTGTCCATATTATACAAGGGCAGGCATTATCTTATCTTATTAATTTCTATGTTTAGAGTGTGATTCGGAGGCCACAGTTTGTGTAAAGTTGTCTCAGGTGAACATTGTTTGCTCTATTTATCAAAATCTTTCCCATGTCTCTTTGGTGCGAGATGTGTTACATACAGCCACTTTGGAATTTTTTACCGTATTCGTGACCATCGTATTTGAATGAATCTCAGACAGCGACGGCGGACCGCATCTTAAGGTTAATTCAACAGTCTTATCATGGCATCTGTTTAGAGGCACACGTGTTGCGGCGAAGTGACCTTGTGATGTGGATACAGCGTTGCAGATGAACCTTTAGTAATGAGGTGTTGGGTGTCGGCGATGGCCACTACTAGTCTGTAAACAAAACGCACGCTACAACTGTTTGTGACTGAAAGCAAACAATACTGAAATATTTATAATCAAGGCTGGCACCAGTGGTTAGTGTGCATGTGACATCAGCTAGGAACACTTGTGTTTAGTTTTGTGGCCGGTGACCTCGCCGGCGACTGACGGAACCCCGACATGTCATCACCGGAGCTCATTCTGCGGCTTGCTGGTAGAATCATTTTACTTTTTGTAAGTAAACCAATCTGCAAGTTTCCAGTTTTCCTCATCTCATAAATTCTTGAGTATACCTACGCTCCTAGTCTCTGTCACTATTTCTTTTTCCATTATTGTCATTATTGGTTGCGTTGTTTTGGTATTCATGGTATGGCATTTACGGTCGCCGTGTATCATTCGGCTGAATTCTTTACGTTCATATTAGTCACACGGCTCATCCTAAATGCAAAACGAATACTAATGAGCTGTCTTGTACGTACCAGTTCGATACTGTCGTCAACTAGTAAAAAACAGGTTTTTGGAAGAAACTAATTAGTAACTAACCTGCTATCAGCGTGCATAATCAATTGTTTTATCGTGAAGCGTTCATCACCTATTTCCTTCAGTAACTAAGTTCTTCTGCTTACGTCATAGTTTTATAGAATATTGGAATAACATAAACGTTTTCATTTAGCACGTGCTCTGTAAACAATGAATGGTTTTCCTTTTACCAAGCATAGCAAGGGGCAGGTGATGTCATCAGTCATTCTATTTTGTATCGCCTCTAGCCGCGCATTTTTCTACAAATGGTGGATAACCACAAGAATTTCAATGTCATTCTATCGTTGAATTGATATAGCGGTAATGCTTATTTGAGAATACTTCAGTTTTATTGTATCACCTACTGTTTTTTGTCCGCGAATTGTAAGTTTGCAATCAAACATTGAGTCATCCGTATTCCACGGGTGTAAAAAGCTGAATCTATTTGTTACGCTTATTTCACGGTGTTGGCAATTAAGTTACTTGCTATTTCCAGAAGAAAAGCCAACGAGCCAAGCTGTTTTTTTTGTTATACGTGCGAGATACGCAGGTAGATTATATAAAAGAAACAATCATTGTTACATTTTTAACAAGGCTTGTAATTTGTATTCGTAACTGAAATTGTGACGTGTTTGATCATGAAGCTCATTATTTTTATAATCTATTAATTAATTTGAAGTCTTGACGCCAATTTTGAAGCTAGTAATAGTTAACTACAAGTAAAGATTTTTAACTAGTCAATTGGTGTCACGAGCTTAGTCAACTAATCATTTTTGTCAACATGATTTGACGAGCAGTGAGTTTATATTTTGATGTGAGAATTAAGTGCCAGATGATTAATTCAGTCCAAACTAGGGCATGTAATATCGGAAGGTTTTCAATTCCGATATTGAATTCCGATATTAGATCTCAATATCGGAATTCCGATATTAATATCGGAATTGAGTTCATGTGCTATAAAATTAATATTTGGTTATATTCGTAAGAATTCTGGATTGTTTACAATAAAATAATGATTGTAATCAAAATCTTTAATTTGGTACAAAATAGCACTTCATAAAATTGAAGTTTTAAAACCATTTTTACGTTATGGGTATCCATTTCATTTGGTTTTTTATGTGACAAGAGGCAAACGAGCAGACGGATCACCTGATAATGAATGGTTACTGATAATGAGCTTATAATTATGGACTAGCAAATAATTAAAGTGTTTTTGTAAAGTCACAGGTATCAAACAAACTTTTACTCCTTCATTATATTACCCTGTTTTATGTTGGCGGAACGAATTTTAGAGTCATTCAAATCACGTGCTACAAAAATTGTAGAGAGTGGTAAAAAACTTGAATATGCTTGTAATTTGTTCCTTTTTGATTATCGATGTACAACTCACAAAACCACGAGGCATGATCATCATCATGTCAGCCATAGGACGTCCACTTCTGAACACAGGCTCCGATAATGATTTTCACCATGGCCGGTTGGTGGCGGCCTGCATCCAGCGCCTTCCTGCTACCTTTATGAGGTCGTCGGTCCACCTTGTGGTTATGAGTCCTACGCTGCGCTTTCCGGTACGTGGCCTCCACTTCAGAACCTTGCTGCCTCATCGTCCGTCTGTTTTGCGTACTAAGGCAGAGAACCGTTGGAAGACCTTATCATAATGCTCGAAGACCTTAATCGAGTTTCCCAACAGGTAGGCCTTCGGATAAATATGGAAAAAACGAAGCTTATGTCGAATGTCCATGTTGCTCCTTACCCAGTTTCGGTTAGGAGCTCGATTCTCGAGATTGTTGACAAGTAAGTACATAAATGTCTATCTCGGACAAACGATCAGCTAGGTAGTTAGATGCAATTTCGAGAAAGAGGTAAATCGTCGAATACGAAGACGAAAGTCTTCAATTGGTGTGTGTTACCAGTGATGATATACGGCTCGAAAACGTGGCCTTTGAATATAGGGCACAACGTGCTATGGAGAGGGTTATCCCTCTTCATAGCACGTTGTGCTTGGTGTTTTTTTTACGAGATCTAATCAGAAATGAGGAGCTCCGTAAACTAACTAAGGTCGCTGACATAGCCCGACGGATTAGCAAGCTGAAGTGGCAATGGGCAGGGCACATAGTAGTTAGTACGCAGAACTGAAGGTCCATAGTCCAGTAAAATTAATGTTTGAAAGGGAGTTGAGATGTCGTTTTTTGTTGACCAAGTACCATGGCAAATGCTAAAATTGATTTAGAACAAGTTAAATTAACCATAAATAGTAAAGATATTAAAATATTTGCAGTGGAACAAAAAGTGATGGTGAGAGAACATGAGAAAATCATTGGTCTTTGCCAATCATGTACTTTGGGCTTTGTGGCAGGTTGTGGCGAGTTTAAACGCTTTGTTTAAAATCTCAATTAAAACTTTTATCTGATTCCGATATTACGATATTGGGTCGCTCAATATCGGAATTGAAATATCGGATCTCGCAGTCCGAGATTCCGATATTACGAGATTCCGAGATTCCGATATTCATGCCCTAGTCCAAACGTTTATACGGCCAGCCGTCAAAGCATCGACAGATAGAGATTAGAGAGTCATCGAGTGATATGTAGAGATGTAGACGTGCGCGGGCGCAGGGATTATCGTCCTGTATCGGGGGCAGTCCGTGTCCTTGCCGGTCGTCACTCACCGCACAGATGCCATTTGTTTTCGCAACAGAAATGATTTCACTGTGTACATTATCCGTTTATCGCCGCCCATATTTAGGATGTTCTCGATCCGGCTGACAGGCATGTTTATCTGTTCTATAGCGATGAGCATGGCGTCATTCCCATATTACTACCACATGGTGATTATGGCATCGTTGTCCTGAAGGTTTGGGCTGGCTAAGACTGTTTTTTATATGCTGACTCATAATTAAATAGCGGTTGTTGTTCCACATTGGCAGTGGTGTTGATTGCAGTGGCCGTTTATTAATTACCATTGCCCTTTCAATGTCTCTGGCTGCTGTTGCCTGCTTACTCAGCTTTTGGCAAAAGGTTCGACCGCTTAAAGAATCTATTTAAATGTTATTTTTGATTGCTGCCCTAATTAAACAAGCCAAGTGTCCGCTAGGTCCTGTTTCATCTTCGTTGCTTGTGAATGTATTGACTAGCGTTAAATCAGTGTCTTTTGTATCTATTTGGCAGCACAAATAGCTTCGAAGATGACGTTAGAATTTTTATATCCTCAACGATATCCGCAGAGCCTGGCCCCTGTCCTTTGTATGACCAGCGGTGATGTCACCACGCTTGCCTGCAGTCGGCAAACAAACGCCATACTCGCCTTTGCTAATTTGGACCGCTCTCCTTAAGCGTTCATTAAAATTTATTATCTGACTTAAGTTATACTGTTAATGCACTTGTTTGGACCATTGCGTTTAAGGGCATGTATAATAAGTCAAGATTTTTGCATTCTGAGTAAAGTGGAACAAAAACATTTTTATCGCATATTTGTGTTATCGGTATTGCGCTCAATTTTTCTTACAATCGAAGGTAAAACAATTGATATCAATATAGGTAAAATATAACTGAATTGTAACTTGTAAATGTAATACAAAAAATAAGGAAAACATAGAATATTTTTTAACTTGAAAATCTCTGTTTTTCCGAGAAATCATCGAAGCTACCTTTTTTTTAGTTTTTCAGTTCCGTGTTTCAGTTAATGTTATTTTTCCCCGATAACTCTTGTGGGTTTAGAACTGTAGCAGTTTGGTGGGTGGCTGATAGACGACACTCCACTATCAAGTACTATCGTAACATTTCCCGTCGCCCGCATTTCACGGTTTGCTTTTCATTCCGAACCCCTATACTAAGTGCTCAATATTGATTAACACATAAGAGAACGGGGCTATATTTAAACAATGTAATCAGGGGTATTAGCTGTGCCGTAAAATCGGTTAATTAACTCGTCATCAAAGTTCGCGAGGGGATTCCTCCAGTCCAACAATTATCGAGGTGACGAGCTAGACGGGACGAGGCTGCCCACACTATTCATGAATCATGCAAAACTCTGCTTGCAACTTGCAAGGCTTTACTGTAGGTATGTAACTGTTCTCTCTAATGAAATAAGTACACCATTACGAATGAAATTTGTTACGAGTAATCTTTCCACTGAAATAGTTGCAATGTAAAATCAGTAAGTGCCTACATAATTGACTTCTTCTGTGGAAGATCGCTGCATCATAAACAACCTTAATACTGCGGTTTGTGTTTTGTCATCATGGCAAATTTTAATATTAGTAATCTGTTTCTCTTCTTCTTTATTTCTTTCTCACGCAGTTTTGATTATAACACCAAAGTAGCAATTACCAGCTATCTGTTTCGTCATTACCACCAGTTTACACCCACCCATGTCATTATCACTACGCGCATGTGCAACAGCGATGGCGGACAACTATTCGGAGCACGTGTAATTGAATGCGAGCGTAAACGCCATAGATAGCATCTGTGCCGTGGGAAACTTCTAATGTCGCGTGATTAGGATTTGATAGGCCGCACTTTTGTAACGATTTATGTATTGTTTACTGTGAGACAATCGCTATAGTTTCATATGAGATCTTCGTCGCCCACATTCTATGCGCTTGCGCAACCTATGTGTGATTCTGTGTATGCGTGAGTTCATACCATTTATTATTGTTTTTAATATTTTTATGTATAAAAGAGCACGTTTAGCTTGTAGTTGTAGCGTGTAGTTTTGCTTTTTTATTTACTTTGGCCCCATTCAATCTTCATTGGTTCCGATCGAATGAGCGAATGTAAAAATATTAATTACTGCACAAAAAATATTTGAAGATTATCCATTTGACCTTTATTTGTTACAGCAACATCTAGAAATTCTTGCCAACTAGAACTTTTTTAACAATTACGGTATTTAATCCGCTAGTTTTAAATCACAATTGCATCAAGGTTTGCCAGCTTTAAAGGTCAATCGAATGAGAGGAAACTCCTCCGTGTTATTGTTGCATTGTCAGAGATTTCTTGGATGTTAGAGGCACCGCAATGAACTCTGATATTTCGACATTCAAAGGCTAGAATGTGACATTACTTTGCCAAAAGTGGGTAATAATGGTTCGAGTTTTAATTAAGTAGTAGGTATATTATAGGTATGTAGTCAATGTTATAAGGCTACTGAAATATTAAGGTCGTGGAAGTAAATATAAGATTAAAGAAGTGATTGAGAAAAAGAAAGATTTCTTTTGTTTCTGTCATTCTTGCCCCGTTTCTACACCTATGTTCTGTCCTTGTCTCAGTCTTCTCTTGGTGAAGATTCCCTCTCATAATGTGTCTGGTACTGGACGTTTTACGATAACGATTGTTTATTCGATACGAAGTTATGTTTCAAGTGTATTTTATGTCTGTTATTTAGTTAGCACTAGCAGGGAAATCAAGACCGCCCATTGCCTCTCGATTCTGTTACTGTAACAACAGATTACACCAAAAAGCGAGCAGCTAAGCCAACCTAGGCTTCTGCAAGCTTCTGGCAGTGATGCCGGTGATTTTTATTTAAGTCTGTTGATCTACCACGCTCCTGCACTCTATGAGATATCTAACGTAAGCATTTTGTTGTTCCCAGGCAGAACAGCGGCTCGCAGCGCGGCGAGCGGCGCGGGCGGAGGCGCGCGAGATCCGCATGCGAGAGCTGGAGCGGCAGCAGCGCGAGCAGGAGGACCATGCCGACAAGGCCTACGACATGTACGCGGGGAAGCTGCCCGGTGAGTGGTGTGAGCTGCGGAGCCTGCTGAGACAGCGACTGGTCTCAGCCCGGCTGCTGCTGGTTACATTAGATCATGCGCGAGCTGGAACGACAGCAGCGCGAGCAGGACCATGCCGACAAGGCCTACGACATGTACGCGGGGAAGCTGCCCGGTGAGTGGTGTGAGCTGCGGAGCCTGCTGAGACAGCGACTGGTCTCAGCCCGGCTACTAGTTACATTAAGACGCGGATGCACGAGCGGAGGAGGTTCAGATCCGCATTCAAGCTCAAACGGCAGCAGCACAAGTATACAAACTGCCTGATAAAGAGAGACTTCTGTGACTGTAGGTAGACAATGTCGTCTTATTACAAACGAGCAAACTTAACTATATCTTTATCTCATTGTAGATCTTTACAAAAACGCTATTCCCGAGCCCGATTTCTAAAGTAACGAATAAAATACCGCGTTTCGCAGCATGGTTAGATGTAGAACCTCTTTCTGAGTTTATAGCCATGCCTGATTGATTATAGTGTTGATTGAGGTGCATGCTTACACATTCCATTCACATGCGCGTGACACTACGTTATAATCTCCTTTATTTTCAAACGAGTTTATTAGACATTAGACACGGACTTTATTGGAGCAGAACAATACATATTAAACATTACATGATAAGGATATGTTTGCAATACATAGGAAATATCGAAACAACTTTCTTTTATTCAAGGTGTAGTTACAACAAGGTCTTCTTACAAAAAGTACAACAAATTACGGAAAGAATTTTACTGTACATGTATAATCGTAATAACTTAAGCAAAAGTAGAGCATACCATCGCAATGTTGGTAGATCTTTGTCAATAAATAAATAGAAATTTATGTCGTCCGCTAAACACGAATGCGTGTTAGCGTCGAAGCCAATCCAATCCGTCTCAGCTTGTCAATGATGGAGTCATGAAGCCTGTTAGAAAGGCAACAACACAATAATTGCCCAGACGTTGACGAGTCTATTAAAAACGCATTAACTCGGAATGTTAATACGGTTAAACGAATACGTTTTGAAATCAAAGGGGGAAACTTTTACTTCAAGCATGTTTATAAAGTCTTCATTCATATTTTATAATTTCTTCATTAAAAATATTACACTCTTAATGAACCTGGTAAATTGCACGTATAAATTATGATGCCTTAACTCCTAAGTCTGATACGTCAAGTCAACGGCAATGGATGAATGGGTTCCGAAATAAATGGTTTTAAGGGGTAGTAGTTTCAACTAGGAGTACTCTTAATTTTGACCCATTAAAATACCACATACACATTTTCAACGTCGTTTCGGCGATTTCTATTCTCTTTTGTCTTTTCTGTTTTGCGCGCAAGGCGGACATTGTTATGTTGATTCCAAGGCTAAGCACTCATGAAGCAGTCTTTACAAGTGCCCGCTGCGGTTGTGGGCCCGCAGCCGCACCTTTGTAGAAAGCTAATAGGTACCTATTTAAGTAAAAAATAGATGCACATTGCACGATTGCATTTTTCGTAAGCGGCGTTCGTGAAGTTTGTTTGCCAGAGACGTGACGTCATTCCCTTGGTGTTGCAGAGACGGTGGGCAGGCGGGGGGGCTCGCGACTGGCGGGACTCAGCCCTGGAGGACTACACTCGCCGAGGAGGAGCTCGGAGGACTCGGCCGATGACGTCTTCAACATTAAGGACCTCAGGGTAAGCACTCAGATAGATACCTCCGTGGTTTATTTCCAGCAATCTTCTGGCAGCTGGTATAGACTAAAACAGTATTGTCTCAACCCCGGCGGGCTGCAATCGCTGCAATGGATTACGGAGGACTCCGCCGATGACATTTTCTACGTGATGTCAGAATTATGAGAAACCCTTTGGCAGCTCATTTAGACTGAAAAAGTGATGATGGATGAACTTATGGGGATGGGAGAGGAGAGGCCAGCCTCCCTGGAAATTGTATGTCCTACCTTATGTTTCTACCTTGGTGTGTGTAGAATCCTGATTAATTTTTTTCCTGATATTATGTCCTTATCCTTTCAACATTCGACAACTGGGACAGCATTTCCATCGTTTTATTTCAACATCGTTTCCCTCTAACTTGCAGCACGAGCTGAAAGAAGTGGAAGAGAAATTCCGCAAGGCGATGATCCTGAACGCGCAGCTGGACAACGACAAGGCGGCGCTGGGCTACCAGCTCGAGCTGCTCAAGGACCGGATAGAGGAGCTGCAGGAGGAGCACGCGCAGCTGTCGGTATGTTCTGTTCCAGTGTTATGTAGACAAGTCCCGCGAGGCGACGATCCTGACGCGCAGCTGGACAACGACAAGGCGGCGCTGGGCTACCAGCTCGAGCTGCTCAAGGACCGGATAGAGGAGCTGCAGGAGGAGCACGCGCAGCTGTCGGTATGTTCTGTTCCAGTGTTATGTAGACAAGTCCCGCGAGGCGACGATCCTGACGCGCAGCTGGACAACGACAAGGCGGCGCTGGGCTACCAGCTCGAGCTGCTCAAGGACCGGATAGAGGAGCTGCAGGAGGAGCACGCGCAGCTGTCGGTATGGACAGCGACTGGTCTCAGCCCGGCTGCTGCTGGTTACATTAGATCATGCGCGAGCTGAAGCGGCCGCAGCGTGAGCAGGACCATGCCGACAAGGCCTACGACATGTACGCGGGGAAGCTGCCCGGTGAGTGCCCGACTGCCGAGCCTGCTGAGACAGCGACTGGTCTCAGCCCGGCTGCTGCTGGTTACATTAGATCATGCGCGAGCTGAAGCGGCCGCAGCGTGAGCAGGACCATGCCGACAAGGCCTACGACATGTACGCGGGGAAGCTGCCCGGTGAGTGCCCGACTGCCGAGCCTGCTGAGACAGCGACTGGTCTCAGCCCGGCTGCTGCTGGTTACATTAGATCATGCGCGAGCTGACGCGCAGCTGGACAACGACAAGGCGGCGCTGGGCTACCAGCTCGAGCTGCTCAAGGACCGGATAGAGGAGCTGCAGGAGGAGCACGCGCAGCTGTCGGTATGTTCTGTTCCAGTGTTATGTAGACAAGTCCCGCGAGGCGACGATCCTGACGCGCAGCTGGACAACGACAAGGCGGCGCTGGGCTACCAGCTCGAGCTGCTCAAGGACCGGATAGAGGAGCTGCAGGAGGAGCACGCGCAGCTGTCGGTATGTTCTGTTCCAGTGTTATGTAGACAAGTCCCGCGAGGCGACGATCCTGACGCGCAGCTGGACAACGACAAGGCGGCGCTGGGCTACCAGCTCGAGCTGCTCAAGGACCGGATAGAGGAGCTGCAGGAGGAGCACGCGCAGCTGTCGGTATGTTCTGTTCCAGTGTTATGTAGACAAGTCCCGCGAGGCGACGATCCTGACGCGCAGCTGGACAACGACAAGGCGGCGCTGGGCTACCAGCTCGAGCTGCTCAAGGACCGGATAGAGGAGCTGCAGGAGGAGCACGCGCAGCTGTCGGTATGTTCTGTTCCAGTGTTATGTAGACAAGTCCCGCGAGGCGACGATCCTGACGCGCAGCTGGACAACGACAAGGCGGCGCTGGGCTACCAGCTCGAGCTGCTCAAGGACCGGATAGAGGAGCTGCAGGAGGAGCACGCGCAGCTGTCGGTATGTTCTGTTCCAGTGTTATGTAGACAAGTCCCGCGAGGCGACGATCCTGACGCGCAGCTGGACAACGACAAGGCGGCGCTGGGCTACCAGCTCGAGCTGCTCAAGGACCGGATAGAGGAGCTGCAGGAGGAGCACGCGCAGCTGTCGGTATGTCCCATGGAAATAATATCTTGAATCTTTCTTTCATTCTTTACTAGTTGGTATTACCTGAGTCTCTATAAAATAGATGATTGCACTTAGTAGAGTTTACACTACAGTCATTTATTCGTGAACTTTATTTTATTAGAAATCAAATCGAATCCATACTGTTTCTCTAGACTTCAAACAATCTGTGTGTTTACCATGAGTTTACGTTAGGTGTGCTTGCTAGTGACTGTGTATTGTATGACATATTGTAGAGCGCCCCTAGGGGCTACTTTCAAGAACTAAAATCTTCATAGATTTTTTTGACGCACTCGTAAGCTGCGCTGACGTAAACTCATGGTAACCACTTGTATAAAAATCATTGTTCAATGAGTATTCAAGTATATTTCTTGGATAGAACTCGACTTAGTAAATATCCGCTACCCAGATAATGTCATGTTACCAAGCATACTCTCCCAAAGAAACATCGTTCCTCTGTGCTTCTATAAACTGCACTTTATTGAGAGACGTTTGCTATCCTTTTAGCGTGAACACAAAGAAAAGTGCTCAGCCCACGAGCGGTTACGGCGCGAGCACGCGTCCCTCGAGCGGGAAGTGACGTGCGCGCGGGACGCGGTGCGCGCGCGGGACGCCGCCGCCGCCGCCGCCGGCTTCGCCTTCGTGGAGGCGGGCGCCGCCGCCGACGTGCCCGGCTTCGGCGCCGTGCCGCCGCTGGCGCTCGTCTCGCATCAAGCGGACCAGATGCTAGGAGACGCTTCTGAGGGGACGCTGGGTAATGTAGCTACTTTTGATTGTTCTTATTGTGATTTGTTTTGCGCTCGTCTTGCATCAGGCGGACCAGATGCTCGGGGACGCTTCGGAGGGGACGCTGGGTACTGTAGCTGCTTTGATTGTTCTTATTGTGAATTGTTTTGCGCTCGTCTCGCATCAAGCGGGCCAGATGCTAGGAGACGCTTCGGAGGGGACGCTGGGTAATGTAGCTACTTTTGATTGTTCTTATTGTGAATTGTTTTGCGCTCGTCTCGCATCAGGCGGACCAGATGCTAGGAGACGCTTCGGAGGGGACGCTGGGTACTGTAGCTACTTTGATTGTTCTTATTGTGAATTGTTTTGTGCTCGTCTCGCATCAAGCGGACCAGATGCTAGGAGACGCTTCGGAGGGGACGCTCGGTATTGTAGCTTCTTTTGATTATTCTTATTGTGAATTGTTTTGCGCTCGTCTCGCATCAGGCGGACCAGATGCTAGGGGACGCTTCGGAGGGGACGCTGGGTACTGTAGCTACTTTGATTGTTCTTATTGTCAATTGTTTTATGTATCTACTAAATCGTACTAGCGGCCGCCCGCGACTTTGTGTGCATGGACCTCGTTTTACCCCCGTTAGATATCATGTTGATAGATGGCGTTTCACGGCATGAATATTTACGAACGTCAAAAATAGTACTTTGTCTAGCGCTGTAGATTTTAAACAATGACGATAGATGGCGCTTTTTAGACACGTCTTATTTATTTATTGAAATTTATTTGTCACATATCGTCATAAATTATAGCCTATATGTTAATCTGGGTTATAAACAATAATGCTGTAAAGTTTCAACAAAATCCGTTCAGTAGGTTTGTGTGAAAGAGTAACATCATCCAGACATCCAAACTTTCGCCTTTGTAATATTAGTAGGATAGGATTGGTAGCAGACGTGGTCATTATGTGAAATGTGAATCAACATGAGCGAGAGATGCTGCAGCCGTTGAACTGTGACTGTAGTCGGACGGGTATCTGAGGAAATAATGATTTCCAAACATTTTCTCTCTATTTTCTACCCTCTGACAGATATAAGTTGTTCTCTTTCTTTAAACATTTTAAACGACCTAGTGGTTATAGGGGGGCTATCACACGATATCCTTATGTGTCGAGGAGGAGAGTGCACACTAGACTTTCTTGTGCAAATTAGTTGTCCATGTCACAAACCACAACCGTGTATCAACATTACAAAGCTGCTCGCTAGTTTTCTCGTGCGTTTCCATACCGCGAACCTGGCTTGCGAGGAATTCCTAACAAGCCTCCCACATTATGTCAATGCACGCCTTAACTCTCCAATCCATGCATGGGTCACGTGTACAGTATGGCGGTTATCACACTGCGCCGCGCTTCGCGGCAGAGCAGACGCGTTGTCAGTGTGTTGTGCCGCGCGTGTTTTCTATACAAACTGAGGTACCTACTTGCCTACAATAATTAAATCTGTCGTCCCGCGTACCGCGGCGCAGTGTGATAACCGCCTATATCATCGAGCGTGTATAACTAACTTTGTGCTTGCAGACGTGCGGTTGCAGAAGCTCCTCAGCTCGAAGACGGCGCTGGAGTCGGAGGTGCGCAAGCTGAAGCTCACGCTCAACGAGGAGCGCGCGGCGCGCCACAACGGCGTCGCGCACCACCACGACCACGAGTACGAGACTGAGCGTGAGTTGACAACTTTTTTTATTTTATTTTATTTATTTATTTATTTTTATTTATTAGGAAAACGTACAGCTTATATTATGATACATGTAGAATAAAAATAATAAGTCTTACACAAGCCTATGAGTTTTCACTGGTTTTTATCCACAACGAGGAAGCTCTTGGCCTGCATCTCACCTGAAAGAAAGTTTTGATTCGGTCGAAGGTGGAAGTGAGCTTCACCCGGAATTCTCGGCCATACGGTGTGCTGCGGCGCCGGAGCGATGTCGCTACCGTCCTGCATATAAAAATCAATGGTATGCTAGAGGATGCGTTCCGGCGCCGCACCGCAGGCACACCGCACTTCGATTGAGCGAGACGGTGCCGCGTATTGCGGCGCCGTATACCACATGTGTACAGTGATGCGGCAAAATGTTTCTTCTCACTAAAGAGGTTTCATGTTTTATTTTTGCAGTGCTGCACCATATTTACTATGCATTTTTTAACGCTGTCATTATAACTGACTTCACTTATTTATCAAAATTTTGTTTACTCGCAGTGGAGACCCTCCGACGAGGCGTGACGGAGGCGAAGGCCCGCGCCGCGCGCGCCGAGGCCGAGGCCGCGCTGCAGGCCGCCGCCGCCGCCCGCCTCGAGGCCCAGCTGGCCCGGCTGCGCGCGCGCCAGGACCACCAGGACGAGCACGAGGAGCTGCTCAAGCAGGAGCGCCGCAAACTGCAGCGCGAGGTACGTGCATGCAGTGTTATGCATAAAAAAAAAGCATTTAATGCAGCCCCTGATGNGCAGAGCATTAAATGCAGCCCCTGGTGTCGTTGATAGTGCTCCGGTTGCTCTGATGCAGGCTAGCCGTTGTAGGCTGCTCAATTTCTGTATTGTTGTCATTTGGTTGACCTTGCTGCACCAGACGGCAGAGGCATAGGTTATTATCGGTCTCACGACCGCTGTGTACAGCCATAGGGCGATTGCGGGTTTTAGTCCCCATCTTGACCCTGCCATTCGACAACAACTCCACAGAGCCATTTTGGCTTTTTGAATGATGTTGTTTAGGTTCGAATTCCAAGTAAGCTTTTGGTCAAAAGTTACCCCTAGATACTTGGTTTCGCTTGAAAAAGGAAGAGTTTTTCCGTTTAATTTCAGATTTACCAGTTTTTCCAGTTTTCTCTTCCTCGTGAATGGTATTATCACTGTTTTATCCGCATTAATAGATAATTCGTTTTCTCTACACCACCTACTTATGGTGTTGAGAGCGCCTTGCATTAGACTTGAAATTGTGCTCAGGCAGGGACCTCTGATGATAACCACTAGGTCATCAGCATAGCCTTGAGTATCATAGTCTTTTTCTGCCATATAAAAGTGGGGATAGTACGCCTCCTTGTGGACATCCTCTTGTGGCAAGAAATTCAAGCTTTGCAGCATTGAGGGTTATGTTTACTACTCGGTTGGAGAGCATGTTTTTTACCCATCTGATGGTGCTTATATCAATCCCTTTTGCCTCCATTCCTTTTAGAATGGTTTCTATAGGGGTGTTGTCAAATGCACCTTCAACATCGAGAAAAGCACATAGGGCCGTTTGCTTATCCTCTAGGGATTTTTGCACCTTATCGACCAGATCGAGCAGGGCTGTTTCAGTAGATTTTCCCTTTTGGTATGCATGTTGGTTGATGCTTAGTGGTCTTTTCACTAAGTATTTGGCTCTAATGTGCTGGTCTATTATCCATTNGGTATGCACTACCTTACTTCCGTCGCATAAGGAAGACGGGTAATTACTAATATCCCTGCGTTTGTTCTTAATATACGACCGAAAGTATTTAGAATTTTTGGAGATTTTTTGTTCGATAATATCAAGATAAGAGTTAAAACATTTCCTCGATTGTTTTTCGCATCGTTTACTAAGAAGCCTAAAAGAAATCTTGTCTAAAGGATTTTTATAGAGCTTGTATCGTTTTCTATATTTATTCTTTTCTCGTAACATTTTTTCAAGATGTTTACCAACCCACGGTGGCTTAGATCTACTCCTCATGGTAAAAGATGGTACATGGTTTTCGATAACTTCGTCAACAACTTGGTAATATTTTTCGACCATATCATCAGTGTTAACATTTAAGAACTTATTATACCAGTCCACACCAGCTAATTCCCTATTAATAGCATCATAGTCTGCCTTTCTAAAATTAAGTGTAGTTGTATCTTTAGGCTGCAGATTGTGCTTAGTATCAGCATGTAGGAGGATTTCCAGTGGATTCCAGTTCCTTGTGAATGGTATTATCACTGTTTTATCCGCATTAATAGATAATTCGTTTTCTCTACACCATCTACTTATGGTGTTGAGAGCGCCTTGCATTAGACTTGAAATTGTGCTTAGGCAGAGACCTCTGATGATAACCACTAGGTCATCAGCATAGCCTTGAGTATCATAGTCTTTTTCTGCCATCTTAATAAGTAGTTTGTCTACTGCTAGGGTCCATAAAAGTGGGGATAGTACGCCTCCTTGTGGACATTCTCTTGTGGCAAGAAATTCAAGCTTTGCAGCATTGAGGGTTATGTTTACTACTCGGTTGGAGAGCATGTTTTTTACCCATCTGATGGTGCTTATTTCGCGCTCCCTAGCGCGCCTCTCTCGCCCGCCTCGAGGCGCCAGGACCACCAGGACGAGCTGCTCAAGCTCTCACTCACTCGCTCAAGCTCAAGCTACAGCGCGACGTAGAGGATTATGTGGGACTCTCCCAGCCAGAAGGGCCCGACGATGTCCTCCGGGACAATTGATTATTATCCTGTAATTGAACATTCGTCCGAGGCTCCGTCTCGGGCTATGGTTCGCTCTTGAGCGAGCCCATCCGGACGTGCACGCTCACTAGCGCGCCTCTCTCGCTCACTCGCGCGCCTGTCTCGCTCACTCGCGCGCCTGTCTCGCTCACTCGCGCGCCTGTCTCGCTCACTCGCGCGCCTGTCTCGCTCACTCGCGCGCCTGTCTCGCTCACTCGCGCGCCTGTCTCGCTCACTCGCGTGCCACTCTCGCTCCGTCGTGCGTCTCTCTCGCGCACTTGCGCGCCGTTCTCACTCACACACGCGCTAGGACCACCAAGACCGGGGGTATAAACCGAGCAGCAGAATAGGTGCATGTCATTTTCGCTACACATGCGCATTGGGACTTATTCTAGGAAGTAGTGATCCATGCTCAGCGGTACAGGACCTCAAAAGTTGTAAGTGCTTTTGCTTAGTAAGATGAGACCTGCGAGAGGTGGTTGGAGAAGGATTGGTATCTTCTCCGCCTACTTATATGTTGTCAGCGGATGGGGTCAACGAAAAAGTCAACTTCTGGGCCACTCTACAGCCTTTTTTAGCCTCAGTCAGTGCCGCTCAATCGTAAAATAATTTATTCACTTTTAAGTCACTTAGATAACTGGAACAAAAATACTTTATCAAAGAAACAGATAATATGCCATTACAGCAGCTCATTTGTTTTCAGGAAGTCGTTGACTTCTGGGCCGTTATCAATAATGGCGATAGTTAACGGTACAGTGGACTCAACCACAGTGTGCGATCCCTTCAACACTTCTTAATACCTTATTAAACTGTGAGCTTGGTGTACATCCATTGAGAAATTATAAAGAAATCTGTCAAAATACATTGCAAAATGGATGTATACGGCTTTGATATAAAAGTGTGAATAACTTATTAAAATGTCTTAACAAATGTTATGTAAATAGTTTCAGATTTCTATAATACTTGTGGAATAACTTGAGTTAAGAAACCTTAAAACCATTTAAGAAAAGAAATTCCTTAAAATAACAAGCAAAATCTGGAAACCCATTGCATGGTGTACATAGACTATAGAATCCATCAAATAAACCAGTTATCATAATCCAACCCACAATGAATGTACAGAACGTAGACTCACATCGCAGGCGCGCTAAGCAGGTCACGCACACACTGAAAATTGTCTATGCCGTGAAATGTTTGTGTTAATATTGTCACTTTTCGTGTCCCAAATGACGCAATAATTGCTAATAAATTGTCCTACTTTATACTTCGTACCGAGTAAAAAATATAATGCCTTTTTATAGATCCCTTCTTTTGATGTGCTACCCAAGGACTTCGGCATGTAGTGAGTCTACTTTACGTACGTTTATTGTGCCACCGCGGTATTATTACCAATATCTTACGTTTACTCTCTGCCCAGGCGCGGGAAGCCCTCAACCGAGTCGAAGAGCTGGAGACGGAGAACAGCCACCTCACCAAGCGGCTGGACAAGCTGAAGAACGCCAAGTCGGCTCTCCTCAAGGAGCTGTGACACTGCTGACTGTTAGACGTCATCCTCTCCGCCACCATGGGGTAACGTGACATGGACTTGTATACGCAGCGGATAATATTTGTAGTATTTCATTTTGTGTAAAGGAAATGGGCCTCTGGCATTGACGTAAAAATGAGATGGCTAATGAAGACGGGCAAGACGGCACGCGTGACGTAATACAAATCTCGCCAACTTTTGGAGTGACGCAATCGTAGTTCAATACTTCGATTTCTATGCTCATTAGTACAATAAAACAATCGATATTCTTAATACGTTATGACTATGGTCACTCAATTGCGAGGTAGGAGGCAACCCGTCTAGCCAGGTTGTTTCCGTATAAGACATTATTGTGCCCTACTTATATTACCTAACATAATTATGTTGACGCCAGAGACTCATTTTCTTCATTAAAACACCTCTAGTTCTTCGATATTAGGAGCGTGGTAAGTGGAAGATAATATTCGATTGACTGGTCAACACGTCTTCCGCTGATTACGTGCGCCGTCCCATTGCGTAAATGTGGATGCATGTAACGTTAACACTACTTGTAACCATACGTGTATTTAAAAGAAGATTCACGCCAATTAATACTGACTGCTTCGGCTAAATCATGATAATAATATACATTTGTTTATTTAAATAATTCATAATATTTGACAGCATATTTATTTTAATTTTTACGTTTATTTCAATTTCAGCATTTGCAGTTTGCATTATTTTATTCCGTATTACAACTGACATTTATTTTATTATTATTATTCTACAAAATATCATGTAATGGACATGATTATATATTTATGACATAATACGCTTTATTAACCGTGAAGATAATTCCTGACTCCCCCTTTACTTTCGTCTGACACCAAGCCAATAGGTACTTGAATATGATTTAGTATTCATTGAGTGCGGATTTTTAGTTCATAGTTCAATTTTTGTATTGTATATATATAGTGACTTTTAAGTGGATTGGAACTTATTGCAACATAAGTGAAAATATTAACAATAATATCTGTGCAATCCTCACATGCCCAGTTACTTAATAACTACTCGGAAAATAAATTGCTGACAAACCAAGAAATAAAGATAATATTTGTATTTCATAAAATTACTACTATTCGAAAGCTATAAATTCAGCTTTCGGGAAAGGTAAACGCGTTTAAACTGCTATAATTGAATGATCAAACGAACTTACCAAGTGAAGTTCGATCTAAATTATCCTGTTTTCGCCGAAGAGATTTATTTTACCATGTAGTACCCCTGTACGACAACCCAATCCGCACACAATATTCAGCGTAGTAGTATTAAAAAACAAAAGAGCGGGCAACCCCACCCCTACCACGCTGTGGGCTCGGTGTCCGAGCGGTCTCATCACATATAGAGCAGAGATGACAATAACGTGTACCTCNTATTTTTTAAATCAAATTTACAATATGAGAAGCATGAGTGTGGAGGGGTCACGACTGTTCTTCCAGATAAAGGGTCTGTAGTTCAGTTTAAAAATTTTCAATGTAAACAATTCATACCTTTTGTAATATACGCTGATTTCGAAACGTTGCTCCAACCATGCAACGAAACTCAAGGGCATCACACAACGAATACACAACGACATATTCCAGCTGCGTTTGCATATTACATTGTCTGTAATTATGATAGTAGCCTTAATCGTTTAGTAAGTTATCGTGGCCCTGATTGTGCATCAAAGTTTGTTGATTATTTACAGAGGGACATAAAAAAAGTTTTCAGCATCATTAAATCGGCTTCCGAGGATCCTGTGCCTATTATTTTTGACGGTGACGATTTATACAAATTTGACAGCGCGGAGTATTGTTACTTATGTTCAAATTTGTTAATTGGTGATAAAGTGAGAGATCACTGTCACTTCACAGGTACCTATAGAGGCGCCGCTCACTCGTTTTGTAATCTTAAGTTTCAAATCCCAAAATTCGTTCCAATTTTTTTTCACAATTTGTCAGGCTATGACTGCCATTTGTTCATTCGGGAGCTAAGCCGTATTCCCGGGTCCATCAAAGTAATTCCAAAAAGTAAGGAAAATTACATCTCCTTTACTAAGTTTATTCCTCTTTCAGACGATACTTTTGTTGCAGCAAGATTTGTTGATACATTTAAATTTATGGGCACCAGTTTAGAACAGTTGGCTAATAATCTTAACCATGCTGACTTCACACATTTACATAAAATTTGTCTAAATGAACATCAATTTGCATTATTGCGTAGAAAAGGTATTTATCCTTATGAATATATGTCTAACTGGACTGTTTATGATGAAACGAGCTTGCCGTCAATAGACGATTTTTATAGCAGTCTTACGGGCGAATCCATAAGTACATCTGATTACGAACATGCCCTTAAAGTCTGGAAAGCGTTTAAAATTAAAAACTTAGGAATGTATACAGATTTATACGTGAAAAGTGATGTTTTATTACTAGCTGATATATTCGAAAAGTTTCGGCTTACTTGTAAAAGTAACTATGATTTAGATCCTGCTTTCTATCTTACTGCACCAAGTCTCAGCTTTGATGCTATGCTTTTGAAAACAAATGTCAAGTTAGAACTTCTATCTGACTTAGATATAATTCGTATGATACAAAGTGGTATTCGAGGGGGTATTTGTTTGTGTTCTCAAAGATACGCAAAATCGAATAACAAATATCAGTCTGATTTTGATTCAAGTCAACCTCAAAATTATTTGATGTATTTAGATTGCAATAACCTATATGGACATGCCATGTGTAGTTACTTGCCATACGCAGATTTTAAGTTTTTGAGTAAAGAAGAGTGTAAAGGGGACACCCGAAAAATAATATGTACGCTATTTCGTGAGTCAATTAATCGCAATTTTAAAGGAATTCTACGTTTTCATATAACTTTTTTCTAAGCCAAATCAATTGTCAAGGAACACATGAAACCACTATTACAAGTTTTATGCAAATGGACGTTTCTTCGCCTTTTTATAAGCTTAAGAAGTTGGAGCGCTAACCTTACGGTGAGAGCAACATTTTCACGCCGCACGGCTGTTTTTGGCTCTCTGAGAGTTTGAAGCTTCGTATTGCTCTCATTTTTGGTGCCACAATGTTGGTACTTGGTTTTTTAGATAGCCTAAATAATAGAGTTTTTATAGTAATAAAGATTTTTTATAAATAATATTCCATTTGCTTATTATTTGAGCTAGAAAAAAAACTTACGAACTTACGTACTATCACGAACTAGTAGCCGTTTACCTTAATGTTTTATGGTCATGTGGGGGGTAAGGGGAGGGAAGCCTCCTTTTATGGTGAGAAATACGTCATATGAAGTTTGGGTACATAAGGAATCTAACGGTAACAAGGAGCCCACTCTCCAGATCTTCAGCTTGCAGCCTAGAAGAGGAACATCCATCGGTTTTAAAATGTAAGTGATTTTTTATTTATTATAAATTTATAATTTTACTATTAAATGGTCCTTATATGCGAGTAGTTAACGTTTACTTAGAGGTATTTGTAAGTGATGCATTCGAATGCATACTTATTATTCGAATAATATCGGTATTCGAATGCATTACTTTTGAATTACATCAGTGAATAAGTTACCATTTAATAAATAAATTATTTCTACGCTATAATTAGTATACCTACCTACATGTTTCGCATAAGACAGTTTTTATTAGTTGATCATAATCATAAATCAGTATTTGTGTTATAATTACATTGTTCACATTGTTTTGATATATTATTGTGATTATAGTATTGATTAGAATACTTATACATTTCAGAAGTTACATTTTTTATACTAATTAATTGTAAATCGTTTCAGGTCAAACGCTGAGGAGTTATTCCCATCAGAAGATGAGGCGCCAGTGCAGCCTGAACCTGAAAAGAGGAAGAGGAAGAGCAGTAAATCGGCGTCAACGTCCAAGAAAAGTAAAGCGGAACACGCTCATCGCGTCACTGCTGCCGAATTATTTGGCAGCGACAGTGAAGACGACGACGTGACGCCGCCAGCGCCATCACCGGGTAAATTACTCTCGTACATTTCGCGAAGACTCGCAAATGGAATATCAAGACAGGCGCATCCATCAAAACCAGGATCGCACTATATTGAGCTTAAAGTTTATAAATGTAATGACATTGAAAAGGTCTCCCCTGTGAACAGGTGGAGACAAGCTATTATTACGGTTAAAAACCGTACAGATGATAACTCCGAGGCTTGGACTCATCTATCCAACTATATTATTGCCACTCGTAAAGAGTTTAGATCATGCCCGCCGACGTTTGTCAGCAACTATTATTAAGTAAAGGAAAGCTTCCTTATTGTAATGCCAACTTCGAGCATATTATAATCATTAGAATTAAAAATGTAAAATGTGTATGTAGGTCTGTAATACCTCTGTAGCCTATGTTTATCTAAAGTAATACTACTTAATAACTACTTAATTGTTATGTATTTACTTTTTATTGCATACCTACTTACTAATTGTATGTTAAATAATGCTATGAATAAATACTTATTAAAATTAAAGTACATTATTTTTATTATTTACAGTTCACTCAGCCAACTCTGAAGCAACCAATATAATGATGCATTGTCAGAAATGTGAAATTGATTTGCCGAAACATAAATACAGATATCATATTATGAGAACGAACTTGCACAAATCCAATTGTTTATTAAAATCAGAATTTAATAATATTGAAATAATTGCAACAGCATTTAAGAACAGAATTGTTACATATCGCTTAAATCCAACACAAGAAGTCGAGTACCTCACTCCTGAGGCGTTCTTGTGTGAAAAACAAAGTGATGTATTAAAAGTTATTGAAATTTTATTAAATAAACATAATTGTATTAAAATTAACTTTGAACTGTTTGTTAACTTTACATTACCAGAAACTAATGCGCAGCAACTTAAATCATTTAACACAAAGTATCAAGTTGTTTACAGAAGTACAGATTTGAATGAATTATATGATGATGTTGTTGAGAAAGTAAAAGAGAAAATGATAGAGTTCCAACATTGTACATCCGGATGGTCTTATTTTGGAATAAGTCATTTAGAAATTAATTAATATAAATAAATATTGTCCTATGAGAGGTGGGAGTTACATACCTTTGCCAGATAAAATAAAAAACACGAAAAGTTGTCTTAATATTCAGAATAATGATAATCACTGTTTTTTATGGAGCATTATTGCAGCTTTATTTCCTTCAAGAAATAATGTGTGTCGAGTAAATTCTTTCCCGCATTATTCAGATGTCTTAAATGTAGAGGGAATGTCATTCCCACCCTCAGTAAGTGACATTAAATTATTTGAAAAGAATAATCCAAATATTAGCATTAATGTTTATGGTTTAAATAAATGTATTGTTACAGGACCTCTGTATATGACCAAAACAAAAAAAACTAACCACATTAATTTATTATACTTTGAACAGCACAATAAGGGACATTATTGTTTAATAAAAAACCTTTTGAGATTAATCCGAAGGCAAATAAGTCATCATAAGGGCACGGCTTATTTTTGTGATTCTTGTTTGCAATGTTTCTTGAAAGAAGACAAATATAAGTCACACCGTTGTTCTCAAGTATTAACCGTTATGCCAGAAAAAAATACTTGTATTCAGTTTAAAAATTATGAACGCAAACAAAAAATAAATTTTATAATATATGCTGATTTTGAGAGTATGCTAATGAATTGTGAAACAGAGTCTGATAAAAATAAAAAGACTAATAATTTGAAATTACACATTCCCACATGTTTTGCATACTATGTGTGCTGTTCATATGATTCTAATTTAAACAAATATGTAACATATAGGGGTACTGATTGTGTTGAAATATTTATTAAATGGTTAATTAATGATATACAAAATATAAATAACATATTAATTCAAAACAATGAAATGAAACCTATGACACATGAACAAAAAATAAGTTATGAGAATGCTACAAAGTGTCATATTTGTAATGAATTTTTATATGGTGATAAAGTTTGCGATCATGATCATATAACATCAGAGTACAGGGGTGCAGCACACTCCCATTGCAATTTAAGGTATAGAGTATGTCCATTTGTACCTGTTGTTTTTCATAACTTGGCGGGCTATGATAGTCATTTATTTATAAAAGAACTTGTAAAATACAAAGGGAGTATACAAATTATTCCCAAATCTAAGGAAAAGTATACATCTATTACAAAAATAATAGAATCATCATCGAATAAATCTTAAACAATTCAAATTAAATTTATAGATTCTTTTCAATTTTTAAATTCCAGTTTAGACAATCTTAGTAAAAGTTTAACACCTGATGAGTTCCATAATTTAACAAAAGAATTTGGTAGTGAAAAAACACATTTATTAAAACACAAAGGTATTTATCCTTATGATTATATTAATTCATGGACTAAGTATGACGAAAACCAACTACCTTCTAAAGAAAGTTTTTACAATAACTTGAAATCAGAACACATCACTAATGATGAATATGCTCATGCTCAAGCCGTGTGATCTGAATTTGATATTAAATCTCTAGGAGAATATACTGACTTATATTTGAAATGCGATGTCTTATTATTGTGTGATATATTTGAACATTTCAGAAATACAAGTTTAAGACATTATAATCTAGACCCAGCCTATTATGTATCCGCACCTAATTTAAGTTGGGATGCAATGCTCTTAAGTACTTGCATTCGATTAGAACTAATAAGTGATATAGACATGTATCAAATGCTAGAGAAAGGTATACGTGGAGGATTAGCTCAATGTTCCCTTCGAAATGCAAAAGCGAACAATAAATACATTCCAAATTTTGACGATTCCAAACCATCGTCTTATTTAGTTTATCTTGATTGTAACAATCTTTATGGTTTTGCAATGAAACAGAAAATGCCAGTATCAGATTTTGTATTTTTATCTAAAGATGAACTTGACAACTTTAACATATTAACAATACCGAACGATGGTGAATTTGGATATATTCTAGAAGTAGATATAAATTACCCTGAATATTTACATGATTATCATAGCGATTTGCCTTTTGCTCCAGAAAAATTTACACCACCAGGTGGACAATCTAAAAAATTAATTGCTTCTTTATAAGACAAATATGAGTATGTAATACATTTTGTACATTTAAAAGAATGTCTGAAAAACGGTTTAATTTAAAAAAAAATACATCGTATTTTACGTTTTAGACAAGACCACTTCCTACAAAAATATATTGATTTAAATACTCGTTTACGGCAAAGTGCAACAACAGCATTCGAAAAAGACTTTTTTAAATTATTAAATAATGCTGTTTTTGGAAAAACTATTGAAAACAAGCGTAAGCAAGTAAATGTAAAATTAGTCACAACATGGAATGATTCTTTGAATAAAACAAATAAGAAAATTGGTGCAGAAAAAATACTGTTAAAACCAAATGTAAAAACAGTATCAGTCTTTTCAGAAAATTTTGTTGCAGTTCATTTAAGTCCAGAAAATATTATATTAGATAAACCAATATATGTTGGCTTTACAGTACTAGACTTAGCTAAGCAACATTTATATCAATTTCATTATGATTTCATTAAAAAACTATATAAAAGCAATGCTAAATTATGTTACACAGACACTGACAGTCTCCTTTATCAAATTTACACAGACGACGTTTATTTAGATCTGAAAGATAATATTGCAAAATTTGATACGAGCAATTTTGATGACGATAATCCATATGGCATATCTCAAGTAAACGCTAAAGTGCCAGGATTGTTCAAAGATGAACTCGGTGGATCTGTGATTACTGAGTTCGTTGGCTTAAGAGCAAAGCTTTATTGTTTAAAAAGCGTTAAAACCACTATAAAAAAGGCAAAAGGTGTATCAAAGTCTATAACCAATCAATTAAACATTTCTGACTATCGAGATGCACTGCGTTCAAAAGAAGTGGTAAGACGTAAAATGAATATGATTAGATCTATCAAACATGTGCTATACTCACAGCAAGTTAATAAAGTAGTTTTAAATAGCAATGATGATAAGAGACAAATATTACCTAATAATATAGAGACATTGCCTTGGGGACATTGTAAAACAATTTTTTGATATTTAATTTTTATGTGATTGAAATCATGCATTATCAGAGTAATACAGATTAGTAAATATATTGTTGCAGCATAATTGTATATTTTTTATTATACTAGTATTAAAATATAGCGTATAATAAATGTATGCCTATTTATAAATGTATGATAATATGTGTAACTCAATAATTAATTACATTAAATATTTCATTACAGATTATACAAATTTTCATTTCTATATATGCCTCTCTTTCCCTCTCTCCCTTTTTATCCATGTATTTTGAGCACACGTGCACCAATGGGTATATAAAGACTGACATTATGCAGCTGTGATTCAGTTCACGATGAAGTTTATTAAGCAACCTTACACTTTGAAAGTAAATAATATAAAAGTAGAAAATTGTAACCAGATAGTTAAACATAGCATACTTTTTCCAAGTACAATTCGCTGTATAATATGTGGTCCTTCTAACTGCGGAAAAACTAATGTTATGATAAATTTACTATTACATGAGAATGGTTTAAAATTTAAAAACATTTATCTATATTCAAAAACAGCGTACCAACCCAAATATCACTTTTTAAGTCAAGTTTTGGAAAGGGTTCCTGGTGCTCAATTTAATGTATTTAATGACAATAGCGAAGTTATTAACCCAAACGAAGCATTAAAACAATCAATAATAATCTTTGATGACGTCGCATGTGAAAATCAAATTAACATTCGCAATTATTTTTCTATGGGAAGGCACAAACAGATAGACTGTTTTTATTTGTCTCAAACGTATTCAAAAATACCTAAGCAACTAATAAGAGACAACGTTAATCTCTTGGTTATCTTTAAACAAGATAACACTAATTTAAAACATATATACAATGAGCATGTTAATACAGATATGAGCTGGGTAGAGTTCAGTAAGCTTTGCTCAAGCATATGGAAAGATCGATTTAGCTTTTTACTAATAAATAAAGATTGCGCTTTAAATAAAGGTAGATATAGACAAGGCTTTGATGTATTTATTAGTTTCTAGATCTGATTCTGGTACTATATAAATTAAGTTAAATAAGTTATGACAACAAATTATGTCAATTAAAAGGATATATCAGCTAACGACGGTTGCGTGGATATAATTTAATGGAATCCGAAATTAAAGAACAACTGATTAAATCAGTTAATAATATAAAACAAAAAATAAAAATGATGAAAAATGAGGAAGATAATGCTAATTTGAAATTTCAAAAGGTATTTAAACCAATCACAGATAATTTGGAGACTATAATAAAAGGGAATAATAAAGACAAACCTGCGCTAAATTTTTCTATTGATATGAGTACAAAAAACAGGGAAGAAGATTTAAACTCATCTTTAGATTATAATACTTTTAGCAAGAACATACATACAGACATTAGTGGAAGTTCAGAATATTTTGATTATGCTGATAACACTGGAAGTCCTCGTGAAAATGTTGATGATACTTTGAGGTCGCTAGATAAGAATGAAGCTATTGACATTTACGATACTAACATTAATGTGCCATTCGGAATACGAAGTAAAAACAAACAATTGATGACGGGAAATTACAAAGTCTCAATTTCATCGAAGGGTGATACATCAAAGCCTGATAAAATTTACGTAGTAAGGATAAATGACAGATACTATGAATTAACTCCTGGCTTAAAAGCACTTCTAATTCGTAGTAAACCTAATCTTGAAGCTGTTAACGAAAGAGATAAGATCACTTACAAAGAAATACTTAATTATACCAACGCTCATAAAAGAGGATTTAGTCCTAATGGTCAAATAAAGGGTGACAAAGGATCAAAATATCTTAAAATCATCAAACCTCTATTTGCTTATGATGATGAAACCACACTTAATAATACGAATATAAAAGGTAGTACAAAAACCGGTGGGTACATACCATTATGCAAAAAATATAAAAGTAATACAGATTATGTATATTGGGACGATCCTAATGAATTAATAGAAAGATTACAACTGTTAATTGCTTCACAAAGTGCTGGCAACACCAACCACGACAATGAAATTTTATCAATAATTGAAGAATTAAAGGAAGCCGGCATTATACATTAAATAAAAGGATCATACAACGTATTAACAATTAGTCTCTGAAATAGCATTGACGATGAATGTCAGTGATAATAATACGCATGTTAATAAAAATTCAATAAACCATAACAACAAAAATGAACAACACTTAAGTGTTTTGGAGACTTTGAGTGAATATGAAAACTCGGCTATTCTTGACAGAAACAATAGTGTTGAAAAACTTAAAGTTCATCTATTAGAAAAAATTGCAAATATCAATAAAAGTATTGAAATTTTAAACAAAAGATTAAAAAAAATTGAAAGAAGTGCTGATATTAAAGAGCTCGCAAGAAATTTAGATAAACATTATGAGCAAAGCAGACGTTGTAAACGAAATCTGTAAAAATGCTAGAATTAATTATCCACGAAGAAGAGTGTTTATAAAAGATATTGACGATCTATGGCAAGCAGATTTAATTGATATGCAAGCCATGTCACGTGTTAATGGTGGTTATAAATACATATTAGCAGTTATCGATTGTTTTTCAAAATTTGCATGGGCTATTGCATTAAAGCAAAAAAACAAAAATCATGTAACAAAGGAGTTTGAA